ATATATACATTTTACACATACATCTACCTCGAAACATTTTTCTATAGATATTCATTGAAAACGAAAATACAGAAAAATTTAAATTTAGCACTTTTCCATTACGGACCATTTTAGAAAAATCATGTATAAACAAAAATTATAGAAATCGATATCGCAAACAACTTTTAGTTCAACAATTTTCATAAAAATCAGAATTTTGCACATTTTGTCAAATTTCTCGAATACAGACCATTTCAGGAAATTTTGACATAAAACAAAAATTATAGATAATAATATTAGAAGTAACTTTTATTTGAACAATTTTCTTCTCCAAACATAAATAACAGATATATTCCATAAAATATAAAAACGGCCTCCCATAAAGTACCCCCCCAGATGTTCCAACTTTGTCCAAAATCTAATCATTTCACGTCAGGCCGAAATAAACCTTAAGTTTAAAATTTAATGTTTTTTCCTTTATCCGTTTTTGAGTTTTCTTCAAATTTCGAAATTTACACATTTTCTCAAATATCTCGAATACGGTCCATTTTAGAGAAATTATGTATAGGACAAAAATTATAGAGAATTATATTATAAACAACTTTTATTTAAACAATTTTTATAAAAAATTATGTTTTTTACATTTTGTCAAATTTCTCGAATACGGACCATTTTAGGAAAATTTTGCATAAAACAAAAATTATAGATAATTATATTAGAAGTAACTTTTATTTGAAGAATTTTCTTCTCCAAACGTAAATAACAGATATATTCCATAAAATATAAAAATGACCACCTATAAAGTACCCCCCCAGATGTTCCGACACTGCCCAAAATCTAATCAGCTCATTGGACGCTGAAACAAAGCTTAAGTTTAAAATTTGGTGTTTTTCTGTGTATCGGTTCATGAGTTATGCGTTATACAGACACACACACACACAGACACACAGACACACAGACACACAGACACACACACACACACACAGACATCATCGCGAAAATAGTCAAAACGGATTCAGGGGACCTCAAAACGTAAAAATCCGTCGAAAACTCGAGGTCGAAAAAAATCATGATTCCTATACTTTCCTTATATCTGTATACAGATAGGAAAGTAAAAATATATGTTGACATGTAGTGTTATGAAAATGTTGGTTCCAGTTTTCAAAACAAATTCTGACTCATAGGCCTGTAAACTTTTGAAAGCCTTTATTTGCCCTTTAGCGTATTAACCATGGGTTAACACTAAATAAGCCATAATATCCACATAACTCATAGGAGAGATACCAGTTACTGTGTGATCCACTTGTCATTCACTGATTAACTTTTACTTTTTATACCTATAACAAATATATCCTTAAAAATGTAAACAGACCAGATTTTTATATTTTATACTAACCTGGCTACATCTGGATATTCTATTAACAATTTTCTTAAATATGTAATATCCATTTTAAAAAGATCATAGTTATTCTCAAAAAGTCGATTTCAAAAGCAAGAAAAAAGTATTTCTGACATCAATCAACAACCATATTGAATTTTATTTGACAGTAACATTTCGTTTTAGATATACATTTCAGATCACAATAATGTGAAATTTGCGACCATTGTCTGGGACCAATAAAAAAATTACTTCTATGACATTTATTCGTTTCTTAACCCCTCATTGGCCGTTCACCGACTAAGGCTGATAAAGATAACTATTTCATAAATTTTGAACACGACTATATTTCGAAACTCGTTCTTAGTAACAAATCTAGTTACTTTTCCCTGTGTAAATGCGTCTTTTCAATTCGCTCCTCCTAGTTTAAAAACAGAGATAGTAAGATTTCAATAAAAAAAAATACTTTATCACCCTTTACCTCCTTTAATATCAAGAATTGAACTAAGGTATATTGTGTTACATGGAAACATTTTTACTCAAGGAATTCATAGTTGCACTGTATCCCATTATTAACGGACCACCTGTATATTTTTAGAAGGGCAGTAGTAAGGTATACGCAACACAAACTACGAAGCTATGTATACTGAGTTGCCTATATCGGACACCGAACGAATGTATTGATTAGAAGATTGATGAAAATGAATGAGTTTACTATATCAAATCCTCTGACACCCGGCACCCTCTGACAATAATCACTGATTTTTTTTCAGGAAAGCATATACATTTTTTTAATGTATAAAAATATATTGCCTATTCAGTTTTTACTAAATATTATAGTCATACTTATGGATATTTAGAGAATGTAATTATACATGATGTTAGTATGTTCGACCGACACCGCTCTACCTTAGAGAGATCTCGTTAATTGATCAATATATGAACATGAACCCTTAAAGGGTAATAAAAGCTTGAAATTAAAAACACCTTCAAATTCTTTTTCAAAAGACCCCGCACACCGCTTATGGAAAAGTGGCGACCTGTTAAATGTCATAAATTTTTGATATGTTGCAGATCTCTGCCTATTAAGCAATAGTGTCCATGGGAACATTCAAATCCTATGACTGGTTTTTGAGATACAGGGTGTTTTTTTGGTCGTATAAAGATTAACATTTGGGTTGGATTGGTAATTTCCGAATTAATTTTGCCGATAAAATATTTAGAGCGAATACATTCACCTCCTAAACTTTGCTCTAAATCGTTTGGATAACGCAGACTATCATCTAACAGATAATTTTTTTGGAACAAGATTATTGACAATTATTAAGTTCTTCTGTCCGTATGTGTGGAAGCTGCACTGCCAATAAAATCACGAACATATTTCAAAATAACTTAATTAAACTTGTTACAAATAGAAGATGCTAAATATGAAATATTACCGCGTCCTGGATTTCAACCTTTCTTTAATATGATTGTTTATTATTCAAAATGGATCAAATTGTGCTATTAATTCCAAAAGTCCTAAATAATTTGATGTTTGTTTACTTTAAAACAACTGTTTATTTATTAATAATTTATTTAAACACTTATTTATTTTATAACACAACTATTCTAATTTATATATACTTCTAATGTCTTTAAACTGAACACTATTTATATTCACCACTGTCTATCTACTAATTACTATTTATCTTCACTGTCCATATAACAACTAAACTGCACCGTGTTCTTCCACCAATTTATATACAAATTTAAAAAAATGGCGAACTTTCTAGTAAGTTCACATATTCTCTCCAATACACTAGAAACATTATCTCGTTCTTCCTCGAACATCATCGAAAACACGTCCACCATAGTCGTCCCATAGGTTTGGTCTTAAGGGGTTCAATTATGTATAATAAGCGGACAAGTTGAGCCTCAAAGGCCAAATAATACAGAGAGGGACTTGGAGTATTAGAGCATGTCTGAATAATGGAATGGCTCACATTACAATAATTTCCAATGTCATTTCTCCCAAACTTTTGTTGTTCTTCATATATTAAATACCGTTGACCAAATAATAGGCTGTATTCTCAATTTTTTCTTCCCTTTTACTATTTTTTTTTTTATTGATTTAAAGAGTTTCAAATGCTCCCTCGCAAGTCCTGTGCCCCTAAGCTATACCCTACATAACATATTGGGTAATCCGGCTCTGGATAAGTATGATAAATCTGTGTTCATCAAAAGCGGATGTAAAGTGAATGCGGCCAAAAAGTGACACTTTAGGGATATTAATAAATCTGCAAAATGCCATTTTTTTGAGTCTCCTTAAAAAATTATTTAAAAGAGCTTTTGATTTATGGTAAATTCTGATTTTAAACTTTTAACACCCAGTATCTTGGTAACTAAGCTCTTTAAGAGTTATGTTCTTATATCAAAGTTCATCAATTAACGAGAGCTCTCTGGGACAGAACACGTTTTCGATTGAATACACTAAGACCCTGTATAAATCTTAATAGTAATTATGAGTTCAAAAGTTGGAGTTTTTTTGCCTTTGAACTAATAGGACTTGAAATAACATTTGAAAGATATTGCTTATTTTGAAGCAACCAAATCAATATACGAATGACATTTCCAGTTTGTCTGAAAATGCAGTCACATTATGACAATTTCGAACACGACTCATTGGCATATTCGAAGATCACTGTTTTTGAAACAACAGGCATGATGGAGATTATTTTTGATACAAATGAAATATTTTAAAAGCAGAAAAAACTGGGTTTCTGCCGTTTTTTATTAAATAGTTAAATCAGGTGATAATAAGCAAGTAAAATCCGTTGGTAGGTCTAATTTGATTTTTTTGCAATAATGTGAAGATTGTCAGCTTTGATACAATAGGCTCATCTCATGGCTCATGTTACTAATATCTTGCTTTTTTATTTTCATGACAGAAAAATGATTTTAATTTCTTTTATGTTAAATTTACTGTTTTGTAAAATTACATTTGATCACCATAAACAACACAATGAAAAAAGAGAGGATATATTTACAGATGAATGCCTCATGATCTACAAAACGATAGTGAATACACAAATACCAATTAGAAGATAGCAGACCTTGTGATTTTAATTATATATAGGAAGAGAAAAGGGATGGGGAAATGGCATGGACATTCTGTAACAAAGAGCCAGCAACAATATATTTCTAGAAAATTTTGGTATAAATTAATGATGGAGGAGGTAACACGGCGTATGATGCACACTTTGATGGCTCAATTTATTTAAATATTATTTGACTATTCAAGCGTTCACCAAAATACCAACATAGAAACAATGTTACATGCTTTCTGTAATTCTACCAAAATTGATAAACTTCTTACAAATAATACACAATAACAAAATAATCAAATTTAATAAAAAATAGGTTTCTCTTGTTTATTTAATAAGTTTCTTATGTTAACATATTACGATAGAATTTAATACTGTACAAATCCAAATAATTAAACGTAATCTCAATATCAGTAACCAGCAAAGATTCGTTTTATTCAGTAAAAAGACGAAAATTTAAATGTAGAAAAAATATACAAAATGTTAATTCAAAATTGCACTATGGACTTATATAAAAAAACAGTTTTTATAGTGACTATAACAATTATTGCTAACACACGAATATTTTTTTCTACTTGTACATTTTCAATTGACACTTTCCACAATACAAACTCATACTTTATTCCACCATAACTTTCCATTTCGAAGAAAAAAATTGCGCCACGAAATAAATTTTGGCGAGAGAACTTACTGGCCAATCATAAGTGACCCTTTTATCTTCGCAGTCGATGCTCACTCTAACGTTTCTTCCATTCGCCAGGCTGCAACTAAATGTCACCTAAAAAAGTAAATTATTAATGAGAATATATGAGAAAAACAAATTGTGGCAGATACGATTCATATCTACACCTACGGTTCTAAAACAAAACAAGGTTCAGGATGTGGAATATACTCCAGATCCTTAAACCTAAACATAAAATGGGCTGTGAGCCATAGTGCCAGTGTAGTTCAAACCAAGCTCACGGGGATTCTCATAGCAGCAAAAGAAATTACCAGAAACATTATTATTTACAACTTTGTTGTTTACCATCCGAATTGGAGGGGTTGCATTTATAGCATAGAAATCGTTTTCCTTTGGAGTCCTTCAATTCATCGGCATAGCAATTAATTTAATCAGTTGTTAAGGTGGCACAATTTCTGTGCAACCAGCCTGCACATTTGTTGCACTTAGTGCTGTAATTGCTTTTTTTTATAACACCCAAGCATTTGATGCAAGACATTATGGAGAATAAAACAATTCAGAATAATATTTAAAGTCGTACCTCTTACATTTTATAGAAATATTGGCTTATCAGCAATGCTATTAGGCCACTTTTTCACTATTTTTGTTTTTACTTGGATTTAAATAAAACGAAATAAAAATAATTTACTACAATTATTACAAACGCAGTTTATTTCAATCACTATAATATTTGGAGAGCGTAGTTTTCACTATATTGGTATGAATTTTAACTTTGTTTTTGAAAAGTTTCCCACTGATTTTTGCGTTTTAACTGGAGCAACTGAATTAACCTCTCAAGCACGATAAGATTTTATAATATACAGGGTGTTCGATGAATACGGTACATAACTTCTGGAGCTAAAATAAAGGTATTTTTGTCATATACACTATGTCTCAAAAATGCTTCATTAGGGAAATACAGGGTGTGAAAGTTTCATAAAAAAAAATACAATTATTTAAATATTTCTAAAACCACTTGAGATATTTTATTTAAATTTTTGCAGCTTTTGAGGGTTAGCAATGTTGCGTTAAAATGTCTTAAGTGGTTTTGGAAATATTTAAAATATTGTATTTTTTTATTATGAAACTTTCACAGCCTGTATTTCCTAACGAAGCATTTTTGACACAGTGTATATGACAAAAATACCTTTATTTTAGCTCCAGAATACGCACCTGAAGTTATGTACCGTACTTATCGAACACCCTGTATATAAGGAAAAATACATATTACTGTATTAACTGTTAGTCTACAAGTCAACAAGACGTACAAGATAGAGGTTAAAGGAGCTAGAGTATAAGAGAGATTTGAAGTTGGGTCTTGGAAAATAAGGAAAAAAATACAAAGAAGGTAATTGGGATGAGAAGTAGTTATAAAAGATGGTGAACAAGTAAAGTAAGATGGAGAAGAATGGATGACAAAATGAGTCATGGTTGACAAACAGTGAGAGTAAAGGGGAATAGGAAAAGAGAGCGATAGTGGTGAAAGAAAGGAGAAGGAAATAAGAAACTATATTAGTTACTAGAAAGAAGTATGGAGTCAGAATTATTATTTATTATTAATTTTAAGAAAGAAGTTATTCTTCAAACAAAGTTTTGCATGGTCTAAAACCCAAAATCAGGAATCAAATGTTTTCACGAGGTTTGTAAAAAAATATGAATTTTGAGCAAGAGTAAAGTATCTTCATTTTTGACAATTTTGAAATTTGTTATAAATAAAAATTGATTAGAAATGAAAATTACATTTAAATATATGCAATTATATCCTTCTATCCTGAAAAATAAGATTTAATTATGTTTTACACATTTCTCTCTAAAACAACCTTGAAAATAGATGCACCCTGATAGTGACATGTCTATGATTAAACTTCAAACGTTATTTCAAAACTAAATATGCAGGGACATTTTTTTCCAAGTCTGTTATAAAGAGAATGTCTGTATAAAATGATATATAAATCCTTTATTTAGTCAAAAACAACTAATACATAGTCAATACACTTTTTCACTAAAAATATATGTCCTACTAAAATAAGTTATTAATCTAACTGTAGTCATATAAAATAAAATATAATTAAACAACACACATAGAATAATATTAATAACAAATACTTCAATACCTAAATTACCTACTTAAATCTAACAAATATTGTTTTAGTTTACGTTTGAATACATTAATTGATTCTAATTTCTTTAGATCTTCTGGCAAGTCATTAAATTGCTGTAGGCCTTTAAAATAGATTGAATTTTGAGCATGACTGGTGTTGACAGTACTAATATAAAAATCATTTCTAAGTCTTGTATTATGGGTGTGAACATGACGATTATAATTTTATTTTGACAATAGTCAGGTGCGTGACCTATTTTTATATTAAATATAAACGTTAATACCTGGTAAAGGAACATGTCTTTAATTGAGAGCCAGTTTAAAGATAACTGCATTTCTACAGTAGGCGTCAATCTAGGAGATGATATTATTCGCATAGCTCTATTCTGCAACTTTTGGAAACGATTTCTTTCATTTTGATCTAAGAGATGAAATCTTATTTTTCTAATTAGAACATACTTTTCTTTATAACACTTTTCGATATTGTCAAAATTCATATTTTTTGACAAACCTCATATAAGACTAAAAAAATTTGATATCTGATGTTTGTATTTTAGGTATTACATTATGCATAACTTTTTAGGAAGAATCACTTTTTCTTCAAATTCCAACTCGAACAGATCCTCTGTATATTAAACGTGTGAGTGGCAACATTTTTGCCCCTCAGTTAGCCATAAACAACAAAGGGGTCTATTCTATAATGATTCCTTTAAATTTTAACGACCATTAAATATTGACGACCTTTAAAAATAATTTTCTATTCACTAACTTACTTCTATCAATATTTAAATGGATTTCTTTAAATATAATCATTTTTAAACATTTAAAATGCTTCTTTAACTTTTAACAGAAAGTAAAGTGCAGTCAAATGGCGTATATAATAATTGGAGAAGCTTTGATTAAAGAATTACTGGAAAATTAAAGTTAGTTCCAGCATTACACTGGAATTTAGAGATAAACAGTATCAAATCTTAAGGGTACAGTAGAGTACAGTAGGTTGTTTATAAATTATAATATGGTTTATGGCTGAGTTCTGCTCTACCCAATTGGCAAGTCTCAGTTTTATTTTGATTTTATTCATTAATGTGTGTTTTTTGTAAGTTTTGTTACAGTTTCCCAGGCCAATTTAGAAACGGTTGCAAGAATGTTCATTAAAATTTACAATCCTAATAAACTTTGAGAGATGTATGTCATTCAGACAGATCATTCTATCAAAGCTAATCAGGCTCATAAATTTTAATGAAAGTTCTTACAACTGACACTGGTGATGATCAGGATAATCTTTAATATCCTTGTGCATTTGAATATACTAACTTTTGATCCCCTTTGAAATCCAGGTAAAACAGTAGACTTCTCAACCCCATCTACTATAATTTTTCCATTATTGTTCATAAAAAACGTTCCATCTTTTGCTTCTTTAACTGTTTTTGGCAATGGGTTTGAAGGTGAATTTACTAATCCAACTATGGCGTAATTTGAGTCTCCCTCTAAAAACTGGAAAACAACATTTATTAAACAGTTAAACATATTGTATTCAAAGCCAATCTGAACAACTGAACAAATAAATTAATAATAAATTCAAAATAAAAACTCTAATTTTAAAAACAATAGTTAATATTGTGGTCAAGACTTTCCTTTTATGGACATACAACAGATAACCATCTTTTTCTTAATATTATGTTAATATTGATTTAAAAATTCAATAGGCAGCGACACGAGGTTCTTCTGTTACAATACAATATGATACAATACAATATGATAAAAAATACATGCAAAAATAGGCAGTATTTAGTTTAGATAATTCAGATAACAAAGTTGTATCTTACCATGAAATCTATAGAATGTCCTATTGAAATTTGAGCACCATCAGAATACAACATATCCTCACAACTGCCTACAGGTTTGGCTACCTTATATTCATTTGAATATTCATAATTAGAATTGTATTTCCAGGTAAAATGTTTCAAAGTTGTACAAGCCACTTGAGCTAAAGACCATGGAGACCATTCAGTTGTTCCTTCAAATTTACAGCTGACCCTGAAGGAATATGACTGATAGTCTTTGAGATCTTTTATCAAAAATTGAGTGTCCAGACCTAAATCAGTAGAAAAAAAATGAAATACCAATAAAATTCGGTGAATACAATGAATATACATAATTATATAAAAATATCAAAAGAGAAAAAGAATGATAATTCAAATGAAAGTTGCTGCGTTTGGATATCCATATTGGATGCATATGAGATGTTGTGAATCTTTGATCACGTGATTCAATATATTTAAATGTAGTTGGACAGATGTGTCCGATGTAGATAAACAAACACTAGAGATGTAAAAAATGCATCAGATGTGGATATTCTAATGCAGCAATTGTAGATATATCGGATGTTCAAATTAAAGTGTTACAGTTAAATACCGCCTTTTATAAAAAAATGTTTCAGATGAAAGTTTTATAGTTTTTTTGGAGAAAACATTTTGGCTAAAATCGTATTTTTATAGATAGCCATAATATGGCCAATTTTTTTTTTCCTGCAGCAAAATTTTCAAGCAGGTGTTACTCAATAAGTAAAGGTCTAATAAAAAATGTTTCCTTTAAAATTGTGTTATTTTTTTATGAACTTTAAGAATATGTAAAAAATGGGGTTCCAAATTGAAAAAAAAAAGTCCACCTTGATATGGCCATATTATGGTCAGCTATAAAAAAATTAATTTAGCCAAAACTATAAAACTTTTGTCTGAAACTTTTTTTTATAAAATGCATATTTTCGGCGGTATTTAACTGTAACATTTTAATTTGAACACCCAGTACATTTAGTAGAATGGAAATCAAAATGAAACTTTTTTTTTCGCAGACATTATATTAATTTGATAGCTCGTAGTTATTAATGTAGTAATCAAAGTGTGTTAACCTTTATAACAGTCATGGAAGTTAACAACTAAATGTTTATCTTTAGTGGCATCTCCAAAAGCTTTTTGTAATCTAAATTCCTCTATGTCTGTGACTTTTTCATCATTATCCACAACAACTTTCCATTCCACTAGAATAGCTCCTGGTTTTTCTGTTAGTTCTGATATCTATGAAAACAAATACAATTTTGCAACATTTTACTACTCAAAAAAGGGAAAAAAGTAAAAAAAAATATATTGAAATGGGTAATAATAGAATTACTAATTAAAATATGAGAATTAAATAATAAATGGTATGGATAATAAAAAAATTAATTACATAAAAAATTTAAACTTTTCAAAAAATAAAATAAATAGTTCTATAATTTCATAAAAGAAGCTGTTCAAAACATAATGAAGATTTGAATGGACACATTTCAGAACAAAGAGGCTAATTTTTATCAATAGGAAAATAAAATTACAATAAGGAGGAAACAAAAAACATTAGCAAGACCAATAAATAAATTGAAAATATTTCGCTACCTGTACTGGGGGCATTTTGTAAATATCTCCAAAACTTGTTATTTTATCTATTATTTCAATTTCTAATGAAGGTTCAAAATAAAAACTAAGATAAGGCACATCTTTGAGCTCTGGTACTTCTGGCAAGCTTCCCAACAAACTAGCATTTTCAGTGAATTCTTTTAAATCTCTATTAGTTGTAAGGGATGTTCCAGTATTTATTAACTTTACTGTGGTCTCTATTTTCCCCAAAATGTATGATTTACATTCTTTTAAAGGAGCTAAAGCCTCTGACCTAGTCTAAAATACAATTAATAAATTATTTAATAGAATGAATAGTAGCTAATGATTATTATATACCTACCCTCTTTGCTTTCTCAACGAGATAATCTTCTCTTTTACAAATAATGTTGTTAAAAACCTCTTTTAATTTGCTAAATGCTTCATGAATATGTGTTTCAGTTTCCTTAAAAGTATGTTCCACTTGTTTTAGAGCAGATTCTAATTCACTGTTTAAATATTTTAGCCGGGTTAGGTACAAATTAGCAGCTTTTATAGTTTCGTTCACTTCCGTTGGGTTCATATTTTTTATGTAAAGAATGAAATATGAAATGAAAAATTTGAAAATGTAAGGAACGGCTGTACAAATAATTTTGACACTTGAGTTGTTTTGACAACAAAAAAAATCAACTTCATGATATATACCACAGAATAATAAAAGTATTCTGTGATATATACAGTAACTTTATTTATTAGGAGTTGCAATCCTGGAGATTTAAAAATCCCTAAAAAAATCTCCACACAGTGCTGTAGAGATGGTAGGTAGATAGATAGGTGATAGGTAACACATAACATATTTGATAATATCGAAATTACACTTCGACGTTCGACGCTAGCGATTCATCCCATCAAGTTTTAACGTCGATGTTAACATTACGTTAAATAATTATGGGAAAACCAGTGAAGGAAAACTAAAATGGATGCTGTATTTCGAAATAACGACCATGTTCTGTGATAACGACTGAGACCGTTATACCATAATACCGCCCAATGAACTGGAGTGGGGTAGAAAGCTAATGTGCATATTTTATCAATTGAACAAGATATGACTCTATGGGCGCAGCCATTTTTATTTCTCATCTCACTCGGGAGTATTTATAATAACCATTTTCTGTTTCACATTGTTATTGTTCAATCCACAGGCTGGTGGATCAGACAATAACAAAGTGAAATAGGAAATGGTCGTTATAAATACTCCCGAGTGAGATGAAAAATAACCTGTCTTCGCCCATAGAGTCGCATCTCAAGCCTATTGACAAGCATTCTACCCCACTCAAGTTCATTGATACCGCCCATGAACCCATCTCTACTTTAACTCTACGTTCTATGTTCTGTGACGTTCTACGTTGGTGTTGGTGGCAGCACTTCTACATTTTAATTTTAGCAGCCTTTCAATGTTGCCAGACCCACTGTTCTAACAGTAGATCTACTCCTACTCCCTTCTCTTGTTTTAGTCATGAAATCTACTGTTTTCGCCAACTTTAAAAATTTTGTTCTTAATTTATTTTGCCTCATTCTTCAGCAAATGTACAAAGAATATTTTCTCAAGTAAATTTGCTGAAGTCAAAGCAGCGTAGTAAGTTGAATACAGCCAGTATTGTATATAGGTTTGCTCCACCCATAGATATAGAAAGAGCTCTACCCAAATCATCATGTTTTGATTTAAAATTCAATAAAGAATTAATAGGGCATCACAATAAGAAAATACATGACAAATAGACCGTATTTGAATTATCTAATTGCCTAATTTGGTAAAGCCAAATATGTTTATTTTTCGTTTATTTTGTTTTTTTTTTTATTTATTACACTGAAAATCATAATTATTTTCCACTGTATTAAAAGGTCTGTTCGGGTTCTTTAAAATACATTGAAAACTATCAGAGGACTAGTTGACCAGTGGACAGTTTAATAGTTGTGGGCGACGTATACTTTAGAATTGAACTGTTCCACTAGTTCTCGGACGGTTTGCATCGAGTTTTAAGGAAACCCGAACAAACCTATTATCTACTGTTCAGTTTCGATGAACTAGATACTGTTTTTCCCACATTTCCAATTCACATCTGCTGTTCCAGTAAATTTGAAAATTTTCATCTGGCAACACTGCAGCCTTCAGAAAATGAGTGAGTGTTGAGTTATGACTGTTATGAGAGGCTTTATATCCGATTTATTTAATTTAAGTATTTTGCGAAAACTTTTGGAAAATCTTGGATGAAAACAAACAAAATATTGTTTGTAAGGACGAAAGTAATATTTCGTTCACAAAAAGTAAGTGATTTGTAGTGTTTTAAGCCGTGATTCTGTGTAATGTGTATTGATTTCTTGGTCTCCATTTTCGTCGCGTCCGTTTTACCTGCCTTTCACTAAGGTAAAATTAGATATTCGTTTCGTTTTTTTCGGTCGTTTTGTTTTATTTTCGCCGTGGAGTGGCGGTTTTAGCTTCGATTTCAATAGAACTGAAGTGTTAGTGTATATTTGGAAATATGCTTTCTGTGAACTTTACACATTAAAAATATATATATATATTTTTGTGACTTCTCACCTTTTGTGACCTATTTATTTGCGTTGCCGCGGCCGTGAACCGTGGGTGGCATGGCATACGGTTTGCCACTAAGGCCAGTTACTTTAATCGGTTATTACCTTTTATTTTTCCTATATGTTCATTATTTATGATGCCAAGGAAGGACTGGCTGGAAGGGTGTAAGTGACGTCAGGGCCAGATCTAATTTAATTGAATATGATTTCCATATTCATTAAAAATTGTAAGTTTTACTTATAATATTTCTCCCATCTGTAATTGCCCAGTATTATATCTGGCAAATATACCTTTCAAGTAGTGAGTGAAGCAGTGTTGCCAATATCGAAGAAACAGCACAATGTTCTAGCATAAAGCAGGGACAGAAGTTGGAAAGGCTTTTCGGAGTTTGCCCACTTCAGGAATGGACAGTTTTGCATGGAAGCTAACCCAAGTGAATGTGATACATTGGCATAGAAAATTATTTTATAAATGCTAATAACGAATGTTGGTAAATAGTTTAATAAATTGGAAATAGCTGTTGAAATTTTGTCGAATTATGATTTGGGACAAGACTAGTTTAAATAATTATTTCTAGTCCGGTTCCGCCGGTAACAAATTATAATAATTTATTTTATGTAAAGGACACTGACATAAACATTACTGCAACATTCTCGAAGTTATCTGCCGTGTTTTGAAGTCTACCCGGTATTATACGCCGACACTCGAACGGCGGATATAACTATTGAAATGTTATAAAGAGTTTCTAGACACTTTGAAACATACTATACATAACAATTATGGGTCCGCTAACACTTATTTATAAAAAAATGTTTACCATAAAATTCTTAAAATTTGTTGTCGGGTCTCCATCATAAAACAAATGTGAAATAAACCATTTTCACTGATTTCAATATCAATATAAGACCATTCATAAAGCAATAAACCATACCAAATTTTTTCATAAATGATTAAATTTTCTTATTTTTCATTTTTAGTTTGTTAGAAAAATAAATAAACATAATAAAGACAATTGATGTGTCTAGTTTCTATAAATGCGGTGTTGCCAAATCGAGTAAGAAAACATATAAGTCAGGAAATAATTCGGTTAGTGAAAGTTGGCTGAAAAATTACATAGTGTCTGGCCAGCAGGTAAATTTGGATCTCGAAGTGAAAACATTTGTAGTAATCACAGACAACCGTCTTTTTATTTCATTTCATGATGATTGTACGTTAATTACGGCATGTCGGTACTTATCTAATATTTAACAAAAAAAATGTTTTTCAATTTTAGCTGTGTATGGTTTAAAAATTTTCTTACAAGATGTCATTCCTTCATTTTCTTATTGTATATTTTCTTATTAATAGATGCCCACGATACAAGACACGTTCGTTAAAAGTTGGGATCGAGGTTCACTGGCCAGATGCTAATGAGGGTTGGTTGGGTTAGGTTTTTTTTTCAATTTAAGCTGTGTCTAGGCCGTTGGAGTCTGCCGGTCGGCGTAGCCAGGTATGGGTTAAAATTTTCGGGTGGCGGCGAAGCCGCCACCCTACAAGAAGTCGTTGCTTCATCTACTTATTGTATATTTTCTTATTATTAGATACCCACGATACAAGACACGTTCGTTAAAAGTTGGGATTGAGGTTCACTGGCCAGACGCTAATGAGGGTTGGTTAGGTTTTTTTTTTTTTTTTTTTCAATTTGAGCTATGTCCAGGCCGTTGGAGTGTATGCCGGTCGGCGTAGCCAGGTATGGTTTAAAAATTTTCTGGTGGCGGCGAAACCGCCACCCTACAAAAAGTCGTTGCTTCATTTTCTTATTGTATATTTTCATATTATTAAATACCCACGATACAAGACACGTTCGTTAAAAGTTGGGATCGAGGTTCACTGGCCAGACGCTAATGAGGGTTGGTTAGGTTTTTTTTTTTTCAATTTGAGCTGTGTCCAGGCCGTTGGAGTGTATGCCGGTCGGCGTAGCCAGGTATGGGTTAAAATTTACAAGAAATCGTTGCTTCATTTTCTTATTGTATATTGTTAGTTTAGGTTAGGTCGTCAAAGAGTACTCTGCCGATGAGGGCGAGGAAGAAGATCTTGATATGGGTATTTTTTAAATCGTTAGTTTTATATAATTTTTCTGATACTGAAGTCAATTGGTTGGCCTGGTACAACGCATGGCATAGGTAAAAATTACCATTGCTATGTAATAGATAATTGATATGGCAACATTGTATTTCTTTTAGACATATGTCACACTGCAAATCTTTTGTCATAGTCTTTACGAAAATTAAAAAATTCAGACGAACCTAAACATGGGCTTAAATTAAAAAAATAAACTGTACCTATTGCATTATGAATAAAAAAAATATTTTATAGCGTTTGCAGGGCAAAAAAAGCATTTTGAAAAATGTGTTTCAGAAGGTCTACAATCGTTAAAAAAAAAAGCTCATTCGACCGTCGGCGGATTTTTCCGATTTATCCTGTTGCTACTTGCTACGCTTTTCCTTAGCTACTAGCATTTTTTGGTAGTGATGTGTCAACACTGCTATTTTGCTAACATGGCATAAAAAATAATAATTACCTAAGTACTTAGGTATAACCAATATTATGTTAAAATGTTATAAACATATCAAGACCATTTTCTATTTAGATTTGATAATAAATCTTAGATTGGCCCTGACTGTTGAATGAATGTATACAATGTATTTCTTAAACAGATTTTATTAACCTATAGATTTGTAAGTAGGTATTTAAATACTAACTAGAGCATGCATTTTTTTTGACTTAGCCTAGCTATGAACCACATTACAATTAGGTGTTTATTCTTGATCTGTGTAAAGGACTGTTGCTATTATCGATCTTCTGTTTTAAAGTAGGTATTCGGCAATCGTCTAAATATGTAAGAAGTGTGTTACTCATGTGTTTCGGCGGTTTACAGAAGGAACGTTTCCTAGATACCCGACGGTAAACGGTGATCGCGTATCCAAGAATAAACACCTTTCTTGTGAAAGCTAGGTAAAGGTTTCGTTGTTGTATTCACGAATAACAAAACGCGTTTCGTGATTTTAGCGTCATCGTCGCTACTTTGTGTCCGCCCGCAACACGCGCTTCTCCAGTGTTGCTCGTCTTATATGAAGCTTTGAACGTCTTGTTGAAAATAATTACCAAAGTGAGTTCCCCATAACATCTTAAATTTTGTGTGAAGATCAAGCCTCCATTTTGTACAAATTAATAAGAATTCCAATTTGTTTTTTTAAACTGCAAATATGTTTTAAAATGAAAATTGTGTCACTAAATAAAATTGATCAACAGCTACACCTTTTTAAAAAAATATTTTTAAGTCTGGTAAGCATTAATGCATTCATTTATTATGGTTACCTATATAGGTCAATCAATATGATGGGATGGTTAAATTGTTTGTAGTAACAGAGCCCAAAAAAAAAGAAAAGAAATATGAGGGAAAAAATAAACACTTTTCTATAAGTTGATAGGTATAGTCTTTCTAGACACAATCCAACACGGCATTATAACCGACTAGCGCCGACTTCAAAGAGACCGCGCACATGGGCGTATCGTTTTCTATTATTTAAAATAAATAAAATTAAATTATTAATTGGGTATAATTCTTCCATTATCAATAATTGGAAGGCATTAAATGCCATTATTGAGACAGATGCACTTAATTATAATTCTGCTTGAAACTTAAAAAAAATTATTATTATAGCTTACAACTGAATATTAAATTATAAAACGTAAATTGACGAGTAAAATGTTCCTGCCTGTAAGGGCGTTTGGTTTAGCAGGGTACCAGACGTGAACTGAGCCCTTTTTGTACCCCATTCGTTTTTTTTTTTCTGGAAAACGAAATTTCAAAGCAAAAACCATAAAGGAAAATAAATTCTTTACAAATAAAACAAAACTATAAATGTATTAATGTGATTACTCTCAGATTACCAATAATGAAAAATAAGAAAGTTAATCTGAATCTAAATCAGAACCACGCAAATTCCGCACTTCCCACTCCAGTAACTTTTGCTTCAACTTTAAGTACTCATACCTTTACTCCCCATGAAGTTATTTCTAAAATTAACAGTCTTGATCTCAATAAAAGTGCGGGCCCTGATGGCATCCCGCCGATTTTGTTGAGGAAATGCTGTGATGCGTTGTCTGTTCCCCTTAGTCTAATTTTCCAGAAATCCTTTTTTCAGGGTATTTTTCCAGATATATGGAAATTTTCCAGTCTAATTCCAATTCTAAAGTCAGGTGATAAATCTAATATAAAAACTATAGGGGTATATCTATTATATCCACAATTTCCAAATTATTTGAATCAATTCTTACTGATGAAATAGCTGCTTCCTTCAAATCTTATATCTCCCCCTTTCAGCATGGTTTTTATCAGGGGCGTTCTACCGCTACTAACCTTTGTTGTTTCCAGGACTATCTATTAACCTCTGTGGAAGCTGGGCACCAGGTGGATGCAATTTACACTGATCTGTCTAAGGCCTTTGATAGTGTCTCTCATCAACTGCTTTTAAAAAAACTCTCCGAAATAGGTATTGCTGGTAACTATCTCAATTGGATAAAATCATACCTAACTAATCGCTCCCAACAAGTTTCTATTCATAATTTTACATCACGGAAAGTATCAGTTTCATCAGGTGTTCCGCAAGGCTCACACCTTGGTCCTGTCCTGTTCTCACTTTTTATTAACGACGTAACTTCCTGCTTTTTAAATAGTACTTGTCTTCTATATGCAGATGACTTGAAATTTTTCAGCACAGTCACACATAACACTACTGCCCTTCAAGGTGATCTAGAGAGACTAAACGAGTGGTGCAAGGTGAACCATCTCTCATTAAATACCAGTAAATGCAAGACCATCCAGTTCACTAGAGCGTTAACCCCTTCTCTAAATCAATACAAAATCGGTAATACTGTACTGCAAAATGTCACATCTGTGAATGATCTAGGGGTGATATTTGATATGGAACTGTCCTTTCGAGAACATATTGATTCCATTATCTGTAAAGCTTTCCGGATGCTAGGTTTTATTAAAAGAAATACTCAACATATGTATGATACTAAAGCAATCTTAACATTATTTAACAGCCTTGTTAGAAGCTTTCTTGAATATTACTCTGTTGTATGGCATCCTAATTACACCTGCCACATAGAGAGGATAGAACGAGTTCAGCGTAAATTCACTAACTATTTGCTGTTTAAACACCACTTTCCCTACCAAAACGTTGGTTACGAAAGTAGACTTCTTTTATGTGGTATGCAAAGCCTAGAAATCAGAAGAAGACATGCACTAGTTCTGTTTTTGTTTAAATTAATTAACGGTAAGATTGACTGTAGCGCCCTTTTACACTTAATTAGCCACCTACTCGACGTACACGTCATACTTCATTGTTTTTCATCAGAAGACATAGAACCAACTATGGACAAAGAGCATTTATTGACTGTATGTGCCACATTTACAATAAGCTTTACTCCGACTGTGACCTATTTAACACAACGTTGCATGCGCTAAAGAGTAATTTGAAACTGTCAAATTTTTTTTTTTTTTTTTTTTTTTTAGCTTTAATATTTAAACCGATTTCTATGTATGCGATTTTGTGAATGTGATATTTTTGTGTAGGTATTCTACATACATGTATTAATTGTTATATATTTTTTTTTAACTCTGTACCATTTAGAATAATAATTCTGTAGTGTACCTATTTGAATAAATAAATAAATAAATAAAATAAGAACCATCTGTCGAGGAATCGAGGTTTGGATTTATAACTACTGGAGCTATAGAAGGTAAAACATGATATTCTTTTTCCTTTTTAATGACGTGGTTAACGCTGTTTTTCCAAACGTCAGTCAAAGACGGATCTTTAAAAACGCCATTAATATTTTCCAAAACCACATTTGTTAAGGTAGGTGCAAAATTATTACATCTCAGTTTTTGTTTAACTGAAGACCAAACTAACTCAATTGGATTAAGTATACAATAATAAGGTGGTAACCTCAATACAGTATGACCACCGTCTTTTGCAAAATTATCAATATAATACTGTATTGGAATATTCTTACTTTTAACAATTTCTAACAATAATTGTGGTTTTGTTTTTACGGAAGCAGGAATATCAATGTTATTATCTTTTAAATATTGATATAATTGATTTCTTAGAGCCCCTATTTGGTTTCTTATCAATTTGCCGGGAATGATATGACGCATTGTCCATTACAATGACTGAATTTGGTGAAATATTCGGTAAAAGTTGTTCAGCAAACCAGTTCTCAAAAACTGCTGCATTCATATCTTCATGATAATCCAGCAGAGCTTTATTGATATTTTTGCTGAAAGTAGCAAAGCGTTTGTTACAAAGCCATTTTCATTTCCGGCATGTAAAATTATGACTCGTTTCCCCCTCGAGCATGGTGCATTTAAAACACAATTTTGTGAACCGTCTGCCCAACCACGTTGAACGACATCATGAGTGTCGAACCATGTTTCATCTAAATAAACTATATTTCTATTGCTATTTCTAAATTTAAAAATTTCCCTTAAATAAATTTGACGTAATTCCGCAATTCGACGCAATTCCATAATGCACATTCGGCTATCTAACTTTTTATATCTAAAACCATAAGTTATTAAAATTTGTCGAAGTGATTCTAATGATTTATATTTGAAATCTTCAAAATCTTGTAATTTTCTAAAAAGTATCTCTAAGGTTGGGACTTGGTTTTCTTTATATGTGTTGTAAACCGTTCGTCGAATCACATCTTTAGATGCATCATCTATCCGACGGCTGACGACACGTTTTCTTTTTTGACTGTGTTCAATAACGCCTCGTTTAATAACGAAATAAATTGTGGAATAGGGAATTTTTGTTAACTTACATATTCTTTTAACTGCATCTGTTTGTGAAATATTTGGATTTTCTGATTTAAAAGACAAACAAACATATTTAAAATGACCTGTTGAACTTGAATATGTAAGTCTTGGTTTTTGAATTCCCAAGATTGTGTTTCACCTTGATTGTCATTATTTTGAATTGCATTATTAATACGTATTTATCATTAATTTGTACTGCATTTAATTGTACTTCATCATTATTCTGAATTTCATTATTTATTGTAATTTCATTATTAATGTGAATATCATCATTAACCTGCAATTCATTAGCATCTACATTTACCTCAAATGGTCTTCAGAAAGCCATCTCGTACAACACAAATCAAAATTTATTGGTATTATAACAAACGTTTGAGAAAGGTTTCAGACTGCACGCTACTGAATAACAACATAATAACCGAAGAGTCCGAAGACCGGTCTTTACCGCGTCCCATAAATTATAAAAACTTATTTTGAACACGCCTCCAAGTTCCCGTTTGCGTGTTTTCATTGGTAGACAAAAGATGATGGGCTTGTGACACACGTCAATCAAGTCCACGTTTTCTAGCGGCTCCTGTGTTTTAAAAGGGTAGTCTATACAATATTTTTCGCGCTTATTTGCAATGTGAGGATATAGCATTCTCAGCGCTTATAACACGCGCCTCCGGTACAAACGCTATGTTGGATTGGTTTTGGAAAGAGTATATAAAAGTCTTTGAATAGGTAATAATACTGCTCAGTGATCTGTGATTTATGAAGGAGTGCTGTATTTTGTGGGTTTTGTGTCTATCAATTTCTTCATGAAAGGGAATAATTTATGAAATTCTGTGTCATATTAACAAGTGTACCAACACAACATTATTTTTTTTTATAAGCGAAGTTAAGTCACAACTCATTCAATACCACTACCTTCTTGACATGAAATGGAAATTTTTGCACATTCAGTCGGGACGGGCTACTCGTTATTTTATCTAAGAAAAGTATCGTTAGTTTTCAGGAGCATATTCAGTAAATTTAGAAATATTAAAAATATTTTTGGTACCTAACAGTTTTAAAAAAGTTAAGTAATTAAATATAATTTAAAAAAAGTCAAATTAATTATTCTAAAATAATTCAAAAGTACCTAATTTGGTTATAAGTAAACTAGTGATGTACAAAACGTTTTTTTCAAATTAAAAATAGAAATAATTTATGAGTGTGTTAAAAACACTATAGCAGCATAGGAACTCCAAGGTTAGACCAAAATACTTCCAGACACAAGAAAAAATAAGATATTTCTATTAGAAATTTTTATTTGACAGCTTAGCTGCATAGTTTTAGTTTTTAGTACTGTAGGTATATGTTGCTTATCAATAGTTCCTAACAAAGATACCACAACTACAGTCAATATGAATGTTGATTAACTTTTTGATTAAAGTTAATTCTTTTCTTAGTCCTTGATTCTATACCAATGGGTTATCATAATTTATCGAAATAGAGTGTTAAAGTTTATCACCCTGTAGACAGAAAACTGCAAGGTTTACAGGACAATTATATTTAGCTTTCCTTAATAATTACCTAGTTAAGATCTGCAATTCCCCCAGTTTACGGTACTTTATTCTGAAACAACCTGTATTTTAGGTTGGTAGGTTGGTATTTCTGAACTTGACGAAAAAAATTGCCTGAAAAATTGAACATGTTGTATTTAGTAGGTCTTTTCCTTTGCATCAAAAGTGTAGCACTGAACTACACCACTTCTGAAAATATCGTTCCATTTATACAAATTGTATGGATGGAACGATATTTTCAGAAGTGACGTATCTCAGTGCTACACTGTCGATGCAAAGGAAAATACCTATTGTAAAGAAATTCATGAATTAATTCAGTTGAAGTTTGACTGAAGAAATTGTCAGATGAAAAGCTTACTTTATACTAACCCTAAGTTAATTTAATTCTATATGGGTTATATAAAAAAACACTAGTTACTTAAATATGTATTTTCTAAAAGTGGTAGCTGTTTTTTTGATGAAATCTTGGATGAACTAAATAAAACTCTTTTCCTGCCCATATTTAAAACAGTTTTATTACTAAGACCAGCATATTTAAAAGAGATGTAAAAAATAGGTACTTGGCTATTTTTGTTTTAAATATTTATTTTGTTCATATTTTTTATTGTGAGAAATTCTGTAGAAATTTGACGTTTTAAGAAACTATAAATAGTCATTAGGCTAATGACTAGGAAATTAATTTGTTAAAGGACTTTTTTTCTGCTTTTATACAGTAATATTCTTAAAAGGTACACACTTTTAGTACATACTTATCAACTTTACTTTAGTAATATCAAGTAAATTAAGATTTTTTTTATAAAGCTGCACAGTTTATTGCCTTTAGTTTTTTTTATTCAATATTATTACAAAATATCTCAGATTGTCATAATTCAAAGTTTTAAATTTATTATACATTTTCGGTTAAAGATACATGTATTCACCAAAACATATATTGGCCTAAATATTATTTAGTCTTATGTAAGTAATTCAAATCGGTTACCTATATTGAATGGTTAGGGTCTAGAATGTGTAAGTAATTTAAAAATTGCTTGAACATATGAAGGATTTCCTTATTCAACCATTTATGTTATGTTGGGAATGGGGTGTTAATACACTGCGTCTTGAAAGATCTATTGTGCCTCTTCTGTCGCTAATGCAGCAAGGAAATGTTAATGCCTATAACGACCCTTCTAATCCTATCTTTTCAAGGAATAGAATTTGGAGTGACTTCAAGTTAGGCAAATCTCTCTCTTCTATTTGATATGCTCCTAGGTATATTGCCCTTGGATTCTGGAGTGCTACACATTCAGTCAATGTGAATGGAGGTTTCGTCCTCCTCCTCACAAAATCTGCACTCAATATCTTCTACTCTCAGTTTAATAAGGTGTCCTTTGAGTCGGAAATGCCCAGTAAGGATCCCTGTTACAATGTGTAGCCTATTCTTGCTCAGGCAGATACAGGCTTCCGATCTTTTCTGATTATTTCGCCCAGAAGTATCTTAGCCTGTCTTAGCCCCAAGAGATTGTTCCAATTATCGGTTCTTCTACTGCCCAATTTTTTTATTAATCTCTCCTAATATTGTGTTACTGCTGATACCGCAGAACAGCTCGGGTCCCACAAAGGGTGTTTGAGCCCCTTTCCTTGCAAGATTATCTGCAATCTCGTTACCCTGTACCCTGTTATATCCCAGGACCCAAGTGAAAGTAACTTTATTATCCTCGCCTAGCTCATTCAATTTTTCTAGGAATTTTCAGATCATTTTTGAGCTAATTACGTAAGAGCTCAGCACTTTGATGGCTGCTTGGCTATCGGACATGATGATAATCTCTTGTCTATGATAGTTTCTCTCAATGTTAAACTGGATATGCTTCTCAATGGCGTGAATTTCCGCCTGGAAGATGCTTGGGTATTTCCCCAAAATTTCAGAGTGTCTGGTTCTAGGACCATACACTTCTATTCCACTTCCATATCGTCGTTGTCGCGGTGGAACCTCCTATGTACATTTCATCAAAATTTTCAGTAGATAAAAAAACGTAACAATTTTGTTCTGATGCCTTATACGTATTACGCACAAGGGAGGTCTAAAATCACAATATTTTAAAAGAAAATTACATGGGAGGTTTCGCTAAACTGTACAGAATGTTAGTTTCTATGAACTGGTACAAAAATCTAAAAATGTGATAAAATATCACATAGGAGGTTTCACCGCGGCAACGACGATATATGGTTTTGAAACCATCCAAACGATGGATTCTTGGCTTCATTCTTTCTTACAGGCTAGCTCTGTGGTTTTGAAGTTTTTCACAAAACTAATTCTTTCACATTTCATCTTGGGGCAAATCCCAAGTATTTTCGGTCCTGATGTTAATAGACTTTCGTCTGATTACTCCATTCATCGTGTCCTTTTTGCCACATTCTCTATCATTAATTGTAGAGGGTTGAGGTTTAGGATCTTCTCCAACCATTTAGGGTGAATTCTAATAAAAATGTTCTTAATGTGAACCTGGGAAATAATAGCTACCAAAATAGGAGAGTGCAACTGATGTTGCTGATGTAAACAAAAATAAATAAATAGGGCACTTAAAAGAATCATAGGGTAATACAGAAAGCTAAAAAACTGAAGGAACCAATTTATATTTTACCTTCAACAAATATCAGGAACACTGTTAATTTCGCTTAAAAAGTAGTTACCGTTTGAAAGAAACTTTGATTTTTTCAATGACTCTCTGAGATTCTATGTATGTTAAATTAATTATTCGTTTTTCAAATTATAATACAAACAGACATTTTATAGAATGTCTTCAAGACGAAGAAGTAGGAGTAGGGATAAGAAAGTTGTGGCAGCCAAACTTAGAATGGATACAAAACCCGTGGCTATGCGAATTACAGGTAGTTACAAAAATCTCAAGTAAATTTCTCTTAAAAAATCACTTATATTAAGAAAAAACCTAATATTGAATCATTCTCGAAATCATTTAAATGTTCTATTTGTTAAATATTTTATTTTTGGGTTTTATGAAATTCGTACTCTAGAAAGTTTGTCTATTTACATCACTGATCTAAGACGAAATATTCTTGAAAGGTTTTCAAACTAGTTCTTCACAATATAGGGTACTCCTTTGCAACATACTATTTTTTAGTTAGGTATTTTCTTTTAGTATGGTGACAGCTGCACTATGTCTATTTGTTGATAAATAAATGTATATTGATATAAATTCGTTAACGAAAGACTATTTTAGTAATGTTAATTTGTTTCCAATTATCTATCCAAAATGTGACAATTAAATTTATTAAAGATACTTTCTCTTCATTTGATAGATTAAAACTTCTAAAGCATTATATGGACATTTTTCTTAATATAAGTTCTTAAGGGGTTTGAAAACCAAACTCAGTTGCCTTTAAAAGTTGTGTAATAGTAAAGAAAATAGTAAACATTCCATATTTTTATGGAACACTTTATATTTTCAGACCCTAGTTTACCAGCTGGCAGGAGAAGAGAAATAGATAATGTTATGAAAAAAGCTAGGGCCCAAAAATCACCAAATTCTGGCGTATTTTGGGACAAAAAACTTTTGGAGGTCGAGGCTAAAGATCCGAACAGGTGAATACATTTCTCTTAAAACGTCGGTAGATTTGAGAATACTGCAATAATATCTTACTTTACATAATTATTATCAATTTAGAAAACCAGATTATTTTAAGTGAAATAGAAACTTAATAAGTTTTATTAAGTAGTTTGTAGAAAAAATAGGAATTAGTAAAAAATATTTGTAAACACTATTACTTCCGTATAGTTGAGTCCGGAAATAAAAGTCGGTAATGGAATGTGCCAAGAAAGTTATCATCTGTCATTGTCCCAAAGTTTGGAGAAATTATCGGAAGTTATGAGACTTTCATTGTTGGCATTCTTTATACATTCCTGACATTATTTATGGATTCAACTATAAAAAATATATATAAAACATTTAATTTTCTTATATTTTTTTTAATTTTATATATTATGTACCGGTACTTAGAAACTTCTTCATGAACAGTTAGTAGTAGCTATATATTAAACATCAAAATTTAATTCTTTGTTTAATACTGTTCATTGTGGTCATATATGGTGGACCATTTTAAGATCAAATAAAATCAGAATCTAAATAAAGGAATACATAAAAATAAGGTTTTTCTTTTAAATAACGAGACTTCCTACCTCTAAGATTATTCAATCTTTTTGAATGATTGAATGTGACTTTATTTTATATATGGGGTGTTAATACACTGCGACCTAAAACATCTATTGTGTCTAGGGCTGCAATCACCTAAATTGCCGACACTGGACAAAAACCTGAAAACCCCCGGACATTTGGGTGAAATTCAGTTTATTCTGCTGATTTTTTTTTGCCACAAAAATAAATATTTTAATTTTTGTATTTATTTAAACGACTTCTTTTCGATTTTTTTGGCAATGTTTGACAAAATCAACATAAAAAAGGGCGAGGGGCATTCGGTTGTAGAATATTTTAGCTGCTTGCGCCAATTTATTGCTTATCATTTAATTAATCCAATTTCCCCCTGACGAAATAAATGTTTTACCCGGACAACACAGACTTTTTTTGAAACCCCACCCGGACGCCTTTCAAACTAGGTAAAATCCGGAGAAATCCTTATGGATGGCAGCCCTAATTGTGTCCATTCTGTTGCTAAGGCTGCAATGGAAGAGTCAACGTCTATAACGACCCTTCCAATCATATCTTCCAAAGAAAGGAAATGATTTGGAGTGGCTCCAAGTTGGACAGGTCGGCCTTTTCTATTTAGTATGCTTTCAAGTATACGAGGTTTGTCCGGAAAATACATATAAAAGTGGAATAATTTGTTTATTTTACAATTATTCAGGTATTTCAATATGGTGTCCTTCAAAGTACTCCTCCTGAGACAAGATGCACTTCTGCTAACGCCGTTTCCACTGTTGATAATATTGCTGAAAGCCTTCAGTTGTGATGCTCTTCAGCTGCAGTGTCATTGCTGCATTTATGGCTTCCACATCCCCCCAAGTGCTGCCCCCGAAGCACCATTTTGCATTTTGGGAACAGGAAGAAGTTGCAAGGGGCCAAATTGGGTGAATAAGGCGGATGTTCTGTCACGGTGATTGAGCTTCGGGCCAAAAACTCAGGCACAATGAGAGACGTGTGAGCAGTCGCGTTGTTTTGATGAAGGATCCACCTGCCCCCTTGTGCCAAATCTGGTCGAACTCGTGCCACACGAGCTCTGAGACGTCTCAAAACTTTAATGTAGAAATTTCCATTCACTGTCTGACCGGGAGGGATAAATTCCAGTTGAACAGTGCCCCAAGAATCAAAGAAAACATCATTGTTTTCACATTGGACCTTGATTTTCCCTTTTTTTGTTCTTGGTTCCCCTGCTTGCTTCCACTCCTTGCTTTGAGATTTCAGCTTCACATTGAATTCGTAGAACCAAGACTCGTCTCCAGTGATGACCCGGTTCCAACCAATCCTCACAGCAATCAACCCTCCTTGCTTTCTGTTCTGGAGTCAAGAGCTTTGGAACGATTTTCACGCACAATTTTTTTATTTCAAGTTTTTCTGTCAGAATTTCGTGGAAGATTGTTTTGGGGATTGACAGAGCCTCAGCTATCATTCTAACTGTCAATCTTTAAGAACACACACCCGAATTCGTTCAACAATTCCTTCAGAACTCGATGTGGAAGGGCGTTTTCAGCGAGAGTAATCTTTCACCGCTTCTCGGCCTCCCGGAACCTTTTTAACCACTTGTTGACGGCCTGTCCCTTCATAGAATTGTCTCCGTAAACTTGTTTCAAACACTCAAAAATCTCACGGCCATTCTTCCCTAGCTTTGCAAAAAACTTGATGTTGATGCGCTGTTCCTCAATCAGAGAGAGCTCCATGCCGACGGCAGGTAAAAAAAGGGTTACTTTCAACAAGCAGACGTAAACTCCTACTTACTCGCAGAGCGCTCTGGCTCGAACTGAGTGTGGAGGGGATGGCATAGAGAGAGGGAACCACCGGGCGCCCCTCCCCAACGCCTTGACACGTCGCCCCCGAATTTTTTGTTTTTTCCGGAAAAACCTCGTAGTGTCCTTGGATTATGTACTACACATGCAGTCAAAACGTAAATGGTGGATTCGTTCTCCTCCTCACAGAATCTGCACTCACTATCTTCTACTTAGTTTACTAACGTGTCATTTGAGTCTGAAATGTCTGATAAGGATCCCTGTTACTGTCAGTTGCCTGGTCTTGCTCAGAAAGATATAAGCTTTTGATTTCTTCTGGTAATAATCACCTAAAAGTCTCTTAGCCTGTCTTAGACCCCAGAGATCGTTTCAATTGTCGGTTCTTCTACTGACCAATTCTTTTTAAGTCTCTTGGCTTTCCTAATATTGTATTAACTTTGTTTTTTTTTTTTTAATTTTCACCCTTAGAGCCTTCTGTGCTATAATAAATCCGTTTGTAGCATGTTCCAGTCAACATCCATTCACAACGTGATTGGAGAATCAAGTCCCACAAAGTCTGTTTCGAGTCCCTTTATGTCCTGGAACCCAAGTTATGTATATTTAATTGTTCTAATCACTTCCAAATCATTTTTGAGTTGGTTACATAAGAGCTTAGCGGTTTGAACATTGCTTGAGTATCGGACATGATGATAATCTCTTGTCTACGCTAGTTTTTATTGATAATAAACTGGAGACACTTCTTAATAGCGTAAATTTCCGTTTGGAAGATGCTTGGGTGATGCCCAAACTTTCAGAGTACTTGGTTCTAGGCCCGTACATTCCTATTCCAGTTTCTTCAGTGGTTTTGGAACCATCCGTATACCTCTAAATTGTATGCTTTTCCGTCGCAGACACGATTGCTTCTTGGCTCTTTCTTTAATGTGACTTTAACATACCAAACATCGACACTCTTGACTTTTCAGTTTGTTGTCGGCATTTAAAACAATTATATTGTCTGTTACATTCTAAAAAAAACAGTTATGTTGTCTGTTACATGCTAAAAAGAGCTGAATAAGTCCAGCAATGTGTCAATCTTGAATTTTTAGTTACAATAATAGAATATTTTCAAATGTGAATGGGACAAAAATTTAAGTAAAGAATTTGAAAATGTGGATGATGAAGAATGCTCTGGACGAACTTTCTCATCAAAAATCGAAGAAATGTACCAACTTTAAAATTGTAATATAATATGAATAAAGATATAAATGTGACCATTTTCATAAACGAAAATAAAATTCTCAAAAGCAGTATCTTACAAAAATTTATTAAATAATCTAAAAGGCTCCTGGTTTTAGGCTCAAGAGCCATCTTCAGGCCTAAAAGGAAGATAGACAGTGGTTCATGACACAATAAATCAAATTTTAGCAGGTAAGGTACCCTAAAACCAAATATCTTATATTAGGAACAGGTAGATGATCATCACAAAGAGAACCTAAAAATGTATACTCGACCTCAAAAGTAGTCTGATTAAACTGTTTAAAAAGTAAATGAAGTATCCTCCATAAGGTTAAACAAAGTTGCTGGTACTGAGGAAACGAAGTAAACTTAAAATAGGTAGAGGAGTATCTTCCTATGTAAGTAGTTGTTGAAAGTAGAGGTGAAAGTAAACATTACCATCTGGAAGATGCAAGTATTTGGGATGGTTTTGTCATGTAGACAATCTGTATGGTAGGCTTAGTAAGGGTTACTTTGTTCTAAAAGAATTAACCAAAGTTGTAAATAAAAATACTTTGAGATCTGCTTATTTCAGACATTCTTATCGCAATCATCTTCTGGGGTGGTTCTCACAATTAGGAGATGTTTGTAATACAAAAAAGAGTATTGAAAATACTAATTGGGTTGAACTTTAGAGATTCATGCAGAGGGTTCTTTAGATAATCAAATTGATGACAGTGGTGGGTGCATAATAATATATTCAAGTATAAATTTTGTGATTAAAAATCAGGTTTACTTCAGAGAACATTTTGTTGGTCATACACATAATACAGAGTAGATAGTTTTGTAGTACCAACGCATAAAACCACACTATTTTAAATGTATACAATTTTTTAATACGTTGCCACATCAAATAAAAAATATTTAAAAGTTTGTATTTTACATCGGCCAATGAAAAATATAACTATAATCAAAAATACTAATCAATAATTTAATGAAAACTGATAGAGGTAGGGATATAAAAGAGGGGGTCTGGGCAGATGTTCTCATGTAAGTCGCATTCCAGCATCAATACCTAAATATGCACATCCACTATTCCTCTCCTCGTTTAACTACCTGACTTGTGAGTCTGGCAAGACCTTCGTGATTGTAAATGTCATCAGAAGTGTATTTTCTAGAAATTTTCGAACCTAAAAAAATTCTATTTTTCCGATTTTGAAGATGCTGCCTGACTCATTATCCAATTTCGTAAATCAGCCAGACTAATTTTTAGTTACAATTTATGATTGTATCAATTTATATGCTAAATTTCAAGCTGGTAAAAATAAGGGTTACGGATTTTTCAAAATTTTCAGCTAGACACTTTCGGCTATCTAAGATAAGCCAGACTACAATTTTTACAAACTTTATGTTCTACTTTAGTAAATGTAAAATATTCATGACAGAAAATGAGTGGACTTGCATTGTTTTTTAATTTTTTGAATCCATCCAACCATTTTAGCCAGACTCAAAAATTTTGTTTATTTGTCACTAAGAGAATATTATATTCATGTACACGGACTGGAAAAATAAGTACAAAAAAAATTCACTGCGTTCTGGACTATAAGGATTAGAAATAAGAATCCATTTTATTCGTTTTTTTTTTTGTTTGGTTTAGCTTACTTAATATAAGATTATGTAGTAAAAATGGTTACAAACTGTATTATTGATGTAATTACCAATTGCAAATTATGGCACTATGGGTTTTACTAAGTTCTCCTCTAGCCCTGGTGAATACGCTATTCTTACTTAATAAGTCGACCTAGCACTCACAATAACATTAGAACATCGTGCTGTTAGTATTTTGCATCAATATTAATTTTAGTGTAATATTTAGTTGTGGATATTGACGTGTACAACACAATACACTTTGTATTTTGTCCCTAGAACAAAAATAAAGAATTTGTATTCTGTCTAGCTACGCTGACAAGCCAAACTTCGACAAGGGTCTATATGAGCCCAAATTACTAATCGCATTCAATGCCGAGTTATGTGTTATGAAGCATTGTCAATCTTCATTTTAGGCCTGAAGATGGCTCTTGGGCTGAAACCAGTAGCCTGTGTTAACTTTAAATTTATTTAATACTCTTTTGTGTGGTACTAATTTTGGTAATTTTATTCTCATTTATAAATAAAGAATATGTTATTGTAACAGTCTCGTTATTCATTAGATAGACCTAATATGTAACACCATTTTTTAATTCTAATACAGGATTTTTCAATAGAGATTTGATATTTGTGAATTTCTTTCATATGGAGGCCTTTGATACTAAGAATTCTGAACACATTACATTGTTAATTACGTCGAATATTTGGCCCACCACGTATGATGATGAGAAATAACAAGCATTACAGCCCCGACTTATATTTGGAATTGTTTCAGGTGGTGCCACAGCGGCTACAAGTCCCTCTACATCGACGGATCGCCGACACCATCTTCTAACGGTAGACGAAGTCGTTCGCGCTCGCCCGCCGCCTCACCTGTAGGTCGCCGCTCGCCACTGGGTCGTCGTTCTTCGCCCCCGATGCGCCGCTCGTCGCCGTCGATGTACGGGGGGCGGTCGACGCGGTCGCCCCGTACGGCGCGTTCTCCACGCTCTCCGAGATCGCCGCCTCCCCGTAACGCACGCTCTCGCTCCCGATCGTCGTCGCCTATTACGCGCCGCCGATCATCGCCGCCGTCTTACAGAAGGGCGCCGATGGGAGGCAGGCCCCGTTCTCCACCTTCGCCAAGGGAACCGCCGTCGTCCAGGCACCCGAAAAGGAGGTCCGTATCGAACAGTTCGATCAGCAGCTGTTCCGATGATTCGTGCTCGGTTTGTTCTCCTAAGGCGCATAGGAATGCCAGGACCAGGTAAAGGATATTTAAAATGAAAACTTTTACCTAATTAAATTTCATGTTTTAACTTGGCGTTATTCTGACTTTTTGAATAAACTAATGAATCTATAATAAAATTATTCTTGTTCCAAGCATGTGTGGCAATTATAAAATTGTTAGTTTCATTAAAATTGCAAATTCCGTTTTTTGAACCAATAAAATCAATTCATTTTAAATAAAAGCCTAATTTCTATATTTGCGGTGTTTATTGCTAAGTCGACTTTATAACGTAACAACCACTGGTATGGAAAATTTGTAGTGGGAAAAACTGTTTGGACCAAAATTGAACCCAACATTTTTGGTCTTACTGGAACCTGAACCGGAACCGTTTATTTCATTTTGGTCCAGGTCAATTATTGATATATTTTCAAAATAATATTTTTGTATTATTCTGTGAGAGTTTAAAACACGGATATATAGTTTTATAAGAGATCAAAATAAAAAATGCCAACCTAATCTTTCAAAATCCCATTGATTGACGAATTTTTAATATTTATGCAATTCAGCATAATTCTTTAAAAATCCTCATAGGAACTTAAAAACAGTTTTTCACAATTATCCAAAATTCTTTAAAATGGAGATTGCCGCTTTGGTTATAGGCTCCTCAAATAATAAGCTGCTTTAATATCATGCATTATAACACCCTGTATTATTATAATTATTCCTTTTGCAACAATTTTAATTATTATTTCAGGTCTAGGTCATTCTCGCCACGAGCTCGCAAAGTTCCGTCGAAAAGTGTCGTTTCCCCTCCACCTAAACCTCGTGTCCGCGCACGTCCTCCTTCTCCTGCTCCAGTACCCAGAAGACTTCATAAACCCACCACTCCTCCCCCAATGCAGCGCAAAATGATGAAACCCAGTCCTTCTGACAGACCGACGGATCCTAGAAGACAACCACCTCCTCCTAGACCAAGAGGCAGTACTGGAGAAATTATTAACGTCAGAGGAGTCAAGCCTCCTGTCAAGCTTGGTGCTGTTAAAAAACCTGGAGAAAAAGGGATGGTTAAACCGGTTAGTTACACCACTTATGAATCATATTTGCTCGAAATCATTGATAGAATTTACATTGTTTGACGGAAACGGAGGTGTATTAAATTCTTAAACAAGGGATCACAATCTAGTCATATATTAGTGTGGCGTAATTTGTGTTCCACTTTTGCTTCAATAATAATAAAAAATGGCGTTCACCCATATTTTTTGTCTTGATACCTGATATTTTCAAAAGAGTTACAATAATTAATGTTAGTTATTTCTTAAACTTTCGATTGGTCTATTAATTGGCAGATAGATTTGAAAATTCAAATGTATGGCATTTCTTAACTGACTCAGTTTTGTATTTAGAAAAATTTAGAAAGAAAACTGTTTCGGCAGAGTGTATTACATTTTAGCCCTTTGCTTGCGGTCCACAATATTTTTTTTACAAAATTATTTTTAGGAACTAGATAAATACAGTTTACAATAGAAAATTAACATTTAATTTTAATATACAGTGTGTTCCGTAAAGTTGGATCCATATGGGAATTTTTTTAATATTAGATTTGGAAAAAAAAACGTCACCTCTGCTTTTTTTAAATCTTTAAAATATTTAGTTATCTGTCAAATTGGGTATTTTTTTGTAATCCAAATTTGACAGAAAAATAATGTCAGTAGCCAACTTTGATGTGAGCTATTTTAAGTTTTTAAGCAGGTGGATAGCCCTAGAATGTTTTTTCCAATCGTAATATTAAAAAAATCCCATATGGATCCATTTTTACGACACACACTGTATATTAAAAAAAAGGTGTAGGTTGGTACCAGTGAGCAACTAAACCAAACTACTGTATAAGGCGCTAGTTCAGTGATGATGTAATTATGGTTCCACTGACAATTAAAGTGACAGTAGATTTTTTGAGTGCGTTTTGTTCGTTTTGTTTACCTAAATTATATCGTTTTTTTTTTCACTTTTATAAATATATTCCTAAAGTAAGTAGATAGCATGCATCAAATATACAATCGTTTAGTTACCAATTACGATACCATTAAACTATTTTTTATGACATGTAAACAATAATTAGAAATAAACTAAAAACAGTAAAAACGTATGTCAAATTTATTGATGTTTTTGTTAAAAGTTTGGTTAGAATTAAATGTCAGTGGAACCAAAATGACATCACACTGAACTATTTTATCTAAACAATTTTTATTCTTAGATAAATGGAGACTAATATGGCACATTATACAAAACCAACGTGTCCGATAACCTTTTGAGGTTGTACTTCATAATCCAAATCTTCTTGGCGTACCGTGAAGTGGCAAATGACCTACTCGATTGTATGTAATTTCTTTTGAACTTGTTCAATAAATATTTGTGTCCCTTTTTTGGTGTATCTAAATTATCCCCAATAACAACAGCTAGATGGAATTCATTCAAAGATATTGCAAGTCCTGGACTTCTAGATTTAAATATAATAAATGCATTAGTGACTGCTTGATCAACGAAGTGGAAAACAATTCGATGCCACTATTTCTTACTTTTTTCTATTTATTTCAAATAAATTCTTCAACATATTCAGACTTATCCACGCCACCCATATATTTGTTGTCTTATCTCGACAGATACTATTTCTGTTAGAAAGAAAATTAATACATTTCTTATCTTTATACCTAGTAAAGATCACTTTATTGGAAGCCCAATCTGTATCCCATCGATCCATTTCTTTTTCCTCTAAAATATCTTGCATTACATTAACATGGTCTCGCAGCTGTTAAGCAGTGATGTCTCCTGTCACGTCTTGGATGAGCAATCTCTGGACTTAGCCGACTAGTGGTAAACCATCGACGACGTGAAATGAATGATGATGAATTCGAAGGAGTAAGGCATCCAAATGGTGGCACACTAGGCATCTCCGTGCCGCCATACGAACCCTAAGAGGAGGAAAAGCAGACGACCCCAAGCGTGATTGAACGGAGCCAGTGGCTGGACCCAAACTTGATTGGAGGGAGTCTGTCGGAATCCCTCAGGGAGAGCAGAGGGATGCCTGAAAGGGTAAAAAACACGTTCCATTCTTAGTGTGCCACATGAGTGGATGTCATTCTTTAATAAATAGCTCATTAGAAAGACTGAGGAAAAATAATTATCAAAGTAAAACATATGACCCTTTTGTGATATCTTTTACAACACGTTCGCCTAAACCAGTCTCCACTTTTAAAGTGTCTATTTCACCAGTATAAATGCGAAACTGATTTACATTGCCAGTAATAGCGTCAGCACATACTCAGTTTATACCCTCTTTTGATTGTTTTTTTGGGCATGTACTGCTTCAGTCAAATGGTTCTTGAAGTGAATCATACTTTCACCAATAGACTGATGCTCTCCAGCCCCATAGTACTTTTAAAAATATTCCAGTAGTTGTTCTAAAATGGGGCCTTTTGCGTTCCTCTTACTCGCTGGAGAGGAGAGTTATCATTCAAATGTATGTGGCCAAGTAACCAACCAAATGTGTTTCTGCTCATTATTTTCGATATATAATCGTCTCTCAAAATATTTTGTGAATAAAGAGGATATTCTATTACACCGTTAACAGAGGGTCCAACATTCTAGACTGAAAGGAAGCATAGTATTTGGAATAAATTGGTTGTTCCAAATAAGGACTGGTTTATTTATAAATTTTTCTGTGCTCTTACTTTAGTTGTTAGGTTGAGAAAACGAGAAAAGAATCAAAGGTTCCAAATTCGTTCAAAAGGGTAGGTGAGTAGAAAAAAAAAATCATACCATTTTTGAAATTTTGAGAAATAATTTGTTGTATTTTTTTAGAAGTATGTCAAATGTGACAGGTATGTTTTATTATTATTGAAGCAACTGTTTATGAACTATAAATTTGCATAAACTAATTAAAAAAAATCTCGTTATGATGCAAACTTTAACAGTGAAACTGTATATTTAAAAAAAGGCTTTTTAAAAGTCCTTTGAAAGTGGAGATTATGTAGTTCCAGAAGGAATGTAATAAAATTATAATTTGAATTACCGTAAAGTCAGGTGACTTTGACCCGCATGGGTGACTAGCTCAAATCAGTAAATAGTTATACGTCCTATTTTTAAAATAAAACTCAAGCTGGTTGAACTATAAGGTATTAAAACTACCCAAAACACTTTAAAGACAATTGGACGCTTACGCTTTTTGTAGTATAAAAAATTTAACTCATTGCAAAATAATCGAAATTGAAAGGTGATAAAATTTGTATGCAACCAACAATACTGTTGTTTGTAATATTTTTTATTATTATCTTTACCGTAAGCAATAAAACATAGGCTAATTTTATTAGTCGATCATAATTCATAATTGTGGATTAATGGATTTCATATATCGAAGTTTGGGGGAAACATACTATTTCCAATTTTATTTTATTGATAACACTAAAGCTCGTCACCCTAGTAGCACAGTATTGTTACGTTCCAGAAACATGCACTTGGGACATTAGAAACGTCTCTGTCATGTTTCTTATCCTCCCTCAAACGTACCTGGGATGTTTCTGGCAATGACCATGTCATTTGTAACGTATTAGAGACGTTTGTGGAACATCCTGCGATGTTGCTCAAACGTCTTAGGTAAGTTTTTTATACTATTGCTGGAACGTTCCAGAAATGACCTAAACGTTTTTTAGTAGGATAATCAAATTTATTACTTTTTTTTTCATAAATTTATTTAAAAACAAATTTTTGACACAAAAATAAAAAATGTTAATTATTACGCTCTGATTCATTGCGTCTATTTCTTTCCGGGGCCCTTCACTCACCTATTTTAATTTCAATTTCCTTTTTGTTTACCAATTGACCGAATCTGAAAATGTTTCAATTAAATGACAATATAAACAATTGATATTAAGTTAAAATAATTACCCATAATGGCTTTAGCTATTTTTAACTTGGATACTTCTTTTTTTCCAGTGAAAAAAAAAAACAACTTTCACAACTCGTTCCTTGAGAGGAGCTATGCATCTTCTGATAAATTCACACTCATTATTGCTACCTAAAATAGTTATTTTTAAAGTTAACAAATAAAGAAATAATGACTAGAATGTATAAAAGCCACATTTTGTTAAAGTAAATTAAATTACCTTCTTCATTTTGGCTTGAATTTCTTGCACGTAAAACGATTGTTCCTGCATTTGCCAAGCCTGATCAAACCTTGAATTGAAAGTGATTTTTCGTGTACACGTTCAAACTGTACACGTCAATCCGGCCGCCTATTATCACTTTTAGTTTATATAAAAGTTTATAGACAAGACGTTTATTACTTTTAAACTTTTCCAAACTTTATTATAAGCGAGGCGAAACATCTTTTCATTTTTAACTGTCAATACTAATGAACTATCTGTCATATGTCAATATTGTCATTGGATCTGGACAGGGATTCTTATCCGCGAACTGAACACGTTATGTGTTGAATAGAAAGAGACATTACATAAGAATCACATTCTGTAGAACGAAGATAGAAGCTTCTCAACACGTGCCAAATTGAAAGATGAGAATCTCACTGCAGATTATACGGTAGACGTGTGCGGTTAATACTCCGCGAGCAAAACAAATATGAGGTCTATTTTGCTCTCAATTAATTTAAAAATGTATATTTCAATTAATTCCCGCCTGAGAACATGTAGAAGTTCCCCCGTATTTCTGTTTCCCAGGAATTACCGTTTTTCAACAATTGCGAGTACCCTCGTAGATTAAAATATCCTTATATTTGCCGAAATCCGAATGGGCATTTTGTAGTCGATTTCGTACCGATTATCTACCTTTTATTTGTCAAGGTACAAGAAGGACATTTTTTATATTTCTAAATTGTAAACAGTCAGCTGTAGTGGTGGTATCCCCCACTCGGGCTTACTGGTCTTCCATCTTGCTTTACCGAAAAGCATAAATTAAATGACATCTGGGAATTTCGCCCTCTTCTCGCTTATCGGCCGCCGTAAGCTCTACTCTCTTGATTGCCGACAGCCGAAAACTATTCACCCTTAGTTAGTACCTAGTGAATGCTCCGTGAAGTGCCGTGATTTCGGAAAAGTTCATTGATTAACCCCGTTTTTCTGCTAAGATAGGAACCGTATATTATTTTTTATATTGGCTTTTATATAATTAGTTGGGACACCCGTGCAACAAGTAAAAAATTTTGATTCATATCCAAGATATATTATTTCATCCCTCAGTAGGAAACCGTTGGCAATTTTTATTTGAGGCTGGACATAGGCTAGACTCCGAGTGCTCTCTTTGTCAACGACTATATCCAATTTCTCTTAAAAACCTCCCAGTTAACATCGAAGTGAGAGATTCGACCTGTTTTCGATTTTTTATTGTTTTATTTTCTATTTTCGGAGGTTCGATCCGTTCCCGGATTAGAGTGCTCTCTCTCCTGATGACGTATCTGCTTTCCCAAAAGACGCATCACTTCGTGTAAAATTTATTTTCTTTTAATTTTTTTTATTCAGCCGTATTTGAATCATTCCGTTCCTCGTCCACAATTAGTTATTGAATGAAGCCAGACGACTTCTGTAAAATTTAAATTCACACAAACGCTCTCGATCGACTCTGGGCAAAATTCAAAATATTATTTTCTACGATCGTCGTGTTCGCCGTTCAAAACACCGCGTAAATAAATAACCATATTTATCACTATACGAAAATTTTCGCTTCCCATCGCTTTGTTATTAAGATACGAGGGGGTTCCGACAACTTTGATTTCATTTATTTGCTTGCATTTGATTACCGTCATATTTAAATTATTTTCAAGTGTATTAATTTATTTTCCATAAATTTTCCGTATACTGGGCGTTTCACGATTCCCAGACCGATTAGGCTCCTGTGCTAATGAACCATAAACATTTCCCTACATTTAAATAATTTCCAATTGTAATAATTTATTTTTCATAAATTTTCCGGACATAGGGATCCGTCAATATTTAAATAGTTTTCAATTGCAATAATTTATTTTTCGTAAATTTTCCGGATATAGGGATCCGTCAATATTTAAATAGTTTTCAGTTATAATTTAATTTTATTAGATTTTCCGAATACAGGGAGCCGTTCATATTTAATTACCGTTGTATTTATTTTTTTGTAAATATATATTTTATTACCTATTCCTGTATTTCTCTTATTACTGGTTCTTAACCGTTTTCTTTCAGGGTACCGTAGGGTACGAGGTGTAAAGGAGATAAGTGTTTTATTTTTATTTATTTTAGTATAGTGGCTACCTAGCAGTGACCGCCTGGAATTATTTTTACCTCCACTGAGTTTACCTTGAGTACACTCCGGTGTACGCAGAGCAAACTGCGATACCAAAACTGGCGCATGAGCAACCCCTATTCGGGAATCACCATCATAGCGCCATACAGACTCGCTGATTCACTGTAGGTGAACCAGGAGCTGTCACACTTTTCATCGAAAATATCGTTTCATCCATACATTTTGTATATATGGAACGATATTTTCATAAGCACTGTAGCTCAGTGCTACACTTTCAATGCACAGAAATAGATTCCATCACGAGTGCTTCTCTCGATAGTGTATTTTTTTAGCTCGCGGAGTATTAACCGAACTCTCCTGCCGAGTCAGAAGGAAGGGTATATTCATCTCTGTCGTATTTGCTTTGCACTCTTTTTTGAAGGAACTAATAAAGATAAATTTGACCTGTACCAGTTATCTTGTGAAATAAAAATATTGTTCAAAATGTTCAAATTTAATATTGGAGTTTGATACTATTGTAGATTTCTGGCGATTGCAGTAATTTGATAATTTATTGATATTTCAAAATAATATTTAAAATAAAAATAGAATGCCTATGCCTATACATAATTACGATGTTTCTAAAACGTTCTTGAGAAATCATTCCAGAAATGTTTCTTTAGAGACATCGTAGGTACGTACCATTTATGTCAGAAACATACATGGAACCTAAATGGGATGTTTCTGGCAGATCGGTGTTATTAGGGAAATAGCTACTAAACAAAAATTACAAAAAGAAAATCGGTTCACAAACAGTTGAGAAAATGGTACTGAACCGTTATGTCTTTGCCTACTTATATATAGATAATGCATATTCATGATTTAACAATTGCATTCGTTATCAATTAAAAGCTACTATCAGTTATTTTAAAATTATTTTCTACTTATCACTTTATTGCATATATTTCTTAATTTTTTCAATAATATCAATCATTAAAATAGCGAACAATGAACACTGAATTTTTTTTTGTTCTAAAACTTTCTTAACGCCGATCGATTTGCAGATGATGTTGAAACGAATTAAAAAAGAACGTACCGGCAACAGAACTGGCTCTCCTGGCGGCGAGTCCTCCGGTTCAGCCGATAGCGGCCCTTCCGCTGTGATACCCACGCCCATCGTAGCGACCACTAATTTGACTCTATCCGATAGATTCGGTAAAATTGCACAATGGAGTGCTGACAGAGAAAGAAGAGAAATGGAAAATATGAAAATTACGAAAACTGGTAGCAACATGAAAGTTTTAGTAGAAGAAGATGAATTCTTGTATGGTAGCCCACCTAGAAGGTACAGGTTAGTATTTATTACATTTTTGATAAACTTGACCTGCAATATTTATAGGCTTCTTTTTTAATTCATATAAAATGAACTAAAAAGTTAAAACAGGCGATTGAAATAATATTGTAAAAAGTTTATTTTAATTAATTCATTCTCTATACATTAAATTGTTAGCTGGTGTGAATCTCCTTGGGAGATTTTAAGAAGAAAAGTTAATATCAACATATTATTATAAACCTCTTAATTTGTGAGCTACAGGGTGTTATATTTTTAAGAAAAAAATAACTTTATCATAATTGTCTTACCATGCCTACGTGGACTTCACAGGTGGAAGTAGAAAATTAATTTTCACCCCAAAAAAATGTTTCCACGCATGGTGGGTGCTTACCAAATTTCAACAAAATATCAAAAACAGTTTCAATGCTCCTTAATGATTAAAAAGGTGTAAAAAAATTTTCATGAAAATAGGAATATTATGACGAAAAGGTTTTTTTTTACAACTGTAACACCCTGTAGCTCAAAAATTAGGTTTGTATCATATGTTGATATTAACTTCTTAAAATCACCCAAGAATTCACACCCTTAAGTATCACCACTCAATAAACATGATATATGTATATACTAGTTTATTTTTACTTATTCTCCTAATTTATAAATCACATTTACTAAAATAATAATAATTTATATAGACATTTACTTAAAAACTAATTTATTTTAACAGCAATAATGTATACTGATTGGTTTCTCAATTTCAACTGTCTTTCAAACGGCAAAAGAGTGTACATCAAGGTGAAAGGTCCCGAAGATTCCGCCATTTATTAGACTGATTTGTAATAAATTGCAATTTCGTATCCATTTATCGAGTACTCTAGTCGTCCCACAAGGGTTGACTAATTTCTTTGAATATTCTTGGTAATCGAACAAGTGAGGCCGCAAGAGGGCCAAATAAGGCAGAGAGCGACGACTTAAGGGATTAGAGCATGACTAGACGAGTCTTAAATGGCTCGCTTTACAATATGTATTACTATATTATCTAATTTCTCTGAAGTTACTGAATCTGTAAAAACCAACGAGTCTAAAGGCCCATTTGTACCAACTGATAGGTATTTAATTACTATTATCAATATACTATCAAGAAATGAAGGCAGCACTGTCATCAGCCAAAGGGTCCTGGAATCACGAAGGAGCATCCTCACCAGTGACAGTGTAGTTCAAACTGAGCTCACGGTGATTCTCATAGCAGCAAAATAGTATCACTGGAAGAAACATGCTCATCTATACAGATATCAGATATGCACTAATCATTCTGGATACACCACGAATTTATTCAGGGTTAGCACAAAGCTTTGGCAAAAGTATCAACAATGTGGTCAACTCAAGATAGATCAAAGGTCACACCACATCGAAAGGTAACTGTCTTGCTGATTCACTTGCCAAGAAGGCAGCCAACCAAATATTTTTTGAATCTGGCCCTTCTATTGGACTGACATCGGTAGTGACAAACCTAATTGAAGAACATTCCCTTACGAAATTCAAAGAAAATGGGATGAAACAAGAAGCTGCATACTTGCCAGGGAGCTCTTAAGTTATCCTGACAACACTACAGCGAACAAATACTTGACTATGACTAGACAGAATCTGCGCCTGATCACAGGCATTCTGACTGGACATTGCCAAGTACGTAAGCATCTCCATATCATGGAGCTGTCAGAATCAGCACTCTGCAGTGGGTGTGAACAAGAACTAGCCATAGAATTGAATTGGGACCATGGACACTTTTGGTCACTAAGTTGACTACTTCTATTACCTAGCGAAGTTTTAGAAAATTTTACCGCCATTTTTCCATAAGAAGAGTGCCGGGTCCTTTAATAATTGGAGACACGATGACGATTAATTTTAGTCTTTTTATGGACAATAAGTACTGAATGTGGCGTAATGCCGAAAGCGCTTTGGTTTTTAAATAAAAGAATTTTTACATGAAATACAAGTTTTTTGCTGATCTAAGCTAGTGCACATATCCGTTAACCTCTTTTGGTTCCTTTAATTTTAAAATAAAGATTATTATTCATTATTATTAATAAATATTTATTTCATTTTTCAGTTTATCTCCGGTACCAACTGGTCACTTCCCAGAAAAGCTCAGAGCGTCCGGTCCATCAAGAACAGCAGAATGGGACGACGTCCGTGTTCGCTATCAGTATTACAAAGATTTAGGCTACTTGCGCGACCTCTCGCTGGACGACTACGTCAAATGGGAGGAGTGGTGGTACAAGTACCAGGACTGGTTGGCCAACGAGAGGCACTACGAGCACTGGCTGTCCACGCAAGGCACCGGCAGACGAAGAGGCAAGAAACGCCTGCCCGCCTCGCAACGTTTGAACTAGAATCCGTCGATCGGGGTTTTCGTAACGCGTCAAACCGTAACGGTCAAATCGCGATTTTTTTTTTAAAGCAGATTTGGATTTCAAAATTTCAGGCTATGATTGTGTATTATTGCCGGGTTTGTTCTAACACCTCGTCATGGTTTTCCATTTAAAACTGATGGGTATATCACCCAAGGTAAAGTAATCCTTCCTTTTGCTTCACATGTTCGGTTTTATCTGTTATTTGTGATTTCATGTCCCAAATTTTGATGTCCAGTACGACAAATATAGCTGAAGCCACCAATAAAATAGAAGAGCGGAGTTCAGTTCATTTCGGTTTTTCCAGATGAACACTTGTATTTCTTAATACATTGTAGAAGTTGTAAATGCTGTAAAAAATCGCGTTTTGAGTACTCATGAAATTATACATTTATAACAATTCTAAATCACTACCAATGTTGTTTAAAAGGTCAGCATAAATGTCCATTCTCGATTCCTTTTGCTCTGGAGGTGAGAAGTTTTTCGCGAATCAATTTACCAATTTGCATGTACCACCACGTCCATCAAGCTCAGGGTGGGAGACCCATCAATAAGCACAGATCTGTATTTCTGTAGTCTTCCATCAAAATTTGTAGATACATACATTATTCTAGTAATTCTCCCGTTCTGACTTAGACGATTGGTTTTTTTTTATGAATCTCTTATGAATCTCCGAGTTGGCTCCGCCATTCTCGAGATTTGTTTATCATGTATAGGTCTTAGTTGGGACTTTCTTATATAGCACATCGAAGTTTTAGAGCAACCTTTTGTTTCATGTACTTTATTAAATATCGAGTATTTTTAGTATTTAATGATTTCAGTTTATAAAAAATAGATCCAGGATCTGTTTGAATAATTACAATTAAAAAAAAACGATCCTTTTAAAAATTCGCTTATCTTTTGAAACGCTTTAATTACTATTCCATCTAGTCTAAATTTTTGAAGTTCCAATATCTGCTTGCAAGGTCACAAGAAACTTGAATTTTGCGTGGAAAAATCCGCTTATCAAATGACTGTTGGTTAATAAGCGATTATTTTAAGTGATAATGGTACGAATAAAAAAAGGTAAAGTATAAAAAAAATAATTAGCAGGTAAACATTAATTATCAGATACATTTTCAGACATACTTGATATTATATTACTTTAAAGATTTAAGAAAACATTTATCTAACTGTCACACTTAAGCAATATATGAATCCAAATTAATAGATTTATAAGAATGTGCATATTTTTTATGTAATACTGATATATAATAATTTAAATGAGTTACATAATTTTTATTCAACCAAATTTTTTTGATGAAATTTTAAAATCTAGAACAATTTTTATTATATTAAATTTAATTCTCCTATTTGGGTGCAATTATTTGTTGAAGAAATACTGGTGATTTTATAAAATTTTCCAGCTTTTGTGACACATTTTGATAACTCTTTTTGTTGTTTTAATATTAAATCTAAATAATGAACAAAAAAGTAAGATCGTAAATTAGGGCGAAAGTGATCTTATATTTATTCGTTTTATATAAGTTTTTTGATTCAATTTTTTGAAATCAAATCCTAATTTATGTATTGAGTATATTGAATAAAAATATTTATTTGTTAACTGTGTTTCATTTGTTTATATCGCTTGCATTATTTATAAAATTGAGTGTGTATTGGAAATTTTTGAATTTTACTAATTTCAAGCTTGGCAAAACTTTTTATCAATATTTTTTGTGACAAAGAAACTTTTTCCCATTTGTATCTCGAGGATTAAGGCGCTGATGATTAAATTTTAAAAGCTGAGGCTATTTGGGATATTGAAGTAAAATGCTACATAGAAGGCCAATGGAACAATTCTATAATTTAAGGTTCTTAACTATATGTCTTTCAGATCGGTTCGAAAATATATCTTCATTTGAGTATCACAAATAATAGCGACATTGCTCCTAAAAAAATTGTTTGGAATGAAGATCTAGCTATATAAGTGTAATAACCAACTAGTCTAAAGGACCACTGCTGTCTGTCACCAAATGTAACAACCAACTAGTCTAAAGACCTATTTGTAACAACTGTTGTCAATATACTATTAAGGGATTAAGGCAGTACTATCACCAGCCAAAGGGTCTTGGAGTCCCGAAGGAACATCCATTTACCAGTGGCAAAAAATAAAATCCCTTAATGGCATAGTCGAGCGGCTTTGGCAAATAGTTATAGACTCTTCTTTATATTTATTAACGAAGTGGCTTCAGGATTTAAATATTGAAAGTTCCTACTATTCGCCGATGACCTGAAATTATATTCATGGAAATCTTAAACTTACCTGACTGCTTGAAGTTACAGGATGATTTAAACTATTTTATTAATTGGGCTTTAAATAATCTTTAAATCCACGTAAATGTTTTTCAATCACCTTCACAAGATCAAAAAACTATAAATTTTCTTTATAATATCAATACTACTGTTTTGGAGAAATTTAGTGAAATCAAGGATCTAGGTGTGATCTTCGATAGATCTTTGACATTTGTCCCACACATGAGATCCATCTCATTAGTAGAGCTCTGAAAACATTGGGATTTGTGACCAGGAACTCTAGGGAATTCTCTGTGCCTACATTCCGAACCCTTTACTTAACACTAGTGCGCAGCATCCTCTTATATGTTTCACCAGTCTGGTCACCTCATTACCGGACTCCTATTTTAAATTTAGAAGCAGTTCAAAATAGGTTTCTAAGAACTTGTCAGTGGAGGTTACATATGCCTTATCTTTCTAAGAGGGAGCTTAATAACCATTTAAATTTATTGTCAGTTGAGAAAACGTTAATTAGTAATGATCTTTTATTTCTTCATAACCTCCTAGAAGGGAATATAGCTTGTCCGGATATGTTGGAGCTAATAAATTTTAGATTAACAACATAAATATTAGAGAGAAACTATTATTTTCAATTAGCTTCCATCATACGAACTACGGACTCAACAGTCCTTTAACTAAGTTTTTGTGATATTTAAGTTTTTTTTTCTTTTTTGTGTGATACTTTAGGTTAGGTTTAAAATATCTACTGATAATAATTATTTTGTAAAAGGAGATTTTCCGTAAATAAATAAAATAAAAAAAACCGCCGAGGCTTCACAAATGCTTGGAATATTTCATATCTGGTTTTGGAAAGGGGAGAAAGTGTTAAAACAGTAACAAATATGTATTTAAAATAATTATTAACTTCAAGAATAAATAATTTATATTTAGTGAATAAATATTGAAATAAATGAATATTTAATAAATATAAGATATATAAAACTTAGGACGAAAATGAAAAAAATGGCATTTATATGGAAATCCATAAATTAATCGTCTTAAAACAAAACCCAAACAACATGTTAAAACAATGTAGTGATGGAACTTTTCATGAAAAGTAATTTTTGAATAATAATTCCAACGAACATATCTGGAAAAGTAGTAAAAAGTTCAATGAAAAGTAGTCGACCTTGGGCATAGAAGATACGCAGTTAAATTTCCATCCTGGATGTTTTTTTTTCGGTTTTTTAGACAAATCATTTGTAAAATACTTCCAACCTTTAAATTTTGTGTTTATTTTAATAAGATATGAAACGAAAATTTGAAAACGTTCAAAAATATAAAAGTCAGTTATTATTTGTAGTTTCCTCTTTTTTAAACCATATTTTGCCTTTTTTGCAAGAAATTGAAACAATTTAGTTATTTTAATTTCGCGCATGCGCAACACACGTTTCCACTTTTGAATAAAACAGATCTGTATTATTTTACTGGATAGGCTATATGACTTGACATACTAAAAATCCGTTCCACCAAGGAGATCGGAAGTGCGCGACTATGAAGAGTAGAGATAAGGAGGTAAATTGGCATACTCGAAATACGGTCCCAAACACAAATCAAAGTATGTGGTCTCAACACATACTTTGATTACTATACAAGGCAAGAGAGAGGTCCGACACGCCCAACATAGGGCGCGGCCATTTTGAACCCTGTGACACAGTTTACAGCAAAAGAATCAGATCGCTCACTCTGCGTCGGCACTTTTGATCTCAATGTTTCAGTTTATAGACTGTGCAACTCGGATAATACAATATATGACAACCGCCTATAATAAAACAGCAGCCTTCTGCGTATCCTGAATTTGTATCCCTGAAGTGAATGTTATTTTGGAACTTTCAACTGATCCGAGTGAGCTAACTGATTCTTTAGCAATAAACTGTGACTTCAAAAATAATATTCACTGACACTGACAGCAGCAAGAAAAATATCAGGTACGTTTTAATCATCCGCTTCTGCTTCCGGAATTTTCGGTTTAGTCGTTTTATCCTGTTAGATTAAAACAAGAAAACCGACAATTTCGAAGCAGAAGCGGATGATTAAAACGCACCTATTAAAAATATTGCGGCAAGATGTAGGCAACACGTAATAAGGGTTCAAAATGGCGGAGTTTTCTATCTCCTTTTAAAAGGCACTCAGAAAGCTGCGCAGTGCGACCATTCTCCGTATAGTAAAAGAAAATCAAAGTATGTGGGTCTCAAACACCGAACGCTAATTGAGCTTTTTTAATTCACCGCAAGTGCGCTGATGCTAGTAGTGCTGTTCAAAATACATGGCTTCTTATGGGAATTTTACATAATTTTTTCAAAATAAAAATAAACTTGTTTATTGCCAAATAAAGCACATAATATACTGTTGTATTTATTTCTAAATAAGTCTCGCATGTTTTATTTAATAAATTATTTAATTTTATTTATATCAAATGCAAATTAGGTAAATATGACCAAATTCGAAAATATTTGTTATGATGAAATATTTTTTTTTTCGAATTATATATAATTTTAAGAGCAAAATAAAAGAAAGTTAACAGATAGATAAGAAAGCCAAAAACAAAAGTAAAAAATTAAAATTCAAATAAAAGAAACAACTATTTCATAAATGCCATTTTTTTTTAATTTGGTGTCATCGGCGTCGACTACTACGGCCATTAGCCTCGTGTTCTGTGTAGGCTTTGTTAGTTTCCCAGCGCCACTTTAGGAACAGCACTGTTAATTAGAACCCAACAGTGAATGGTCGAGACAAAATATAAGGAACAAAAATGTATATGCACAACACCAAGTACAAATATAACAATTTACAAATATAAAATATATACTTAAATTAAAATGAGCTACTTAATTCAACCGATTAGAGAAAAAATTTCATTCAGTTTGTAGTATGCCTTTTCGAGCAAGAGTTTCTTAACTTTCTTTTTAAATATTTTTAATGAGTCTGCACTAATGACAAAATTGGGGTTCAACAAAAAAATAATAGTAGCAACTCTTTATGTAACATTAAAACTCTAAAAGAAAAACAAATGTTGGTAATCTTGTAGAAATGCGCATATTCACACCACTCTACACTGATGTCTAGAATTTGAATTTGACACAAATTTCAATTTTGTTATAATCACTATTGAAAGGCGGTATCATTGATTTTTTTTTATTTTTATAGGATTTTTAATCGATGTAAAAATTGTTAAGTAGATGATTAAAAGTAAAATAGTTATTTCAATATGCTTATTCCTTGGTTCCAAATAACTAAATATAACCTGGTAACTATATTGTCATGAAAATTCCTAAGCCGTCTGTCTAGCGACCTTCATCAGCTTGCCACCCGACTCATGCTCGAAGCGACGGAATCTTTTAGGAATGCCGCTGACGCTCGAGAAACGGCTAGAACGGACGGAGCGTACCGTTGAGTCAGAGATGGAATTTTCGGGAGCGTCTAGATACT